GATTTTTAAGCTGTATGAGTTTTTTTTGTTAGCGATAGTACCTGTGGTATCACCTATAGGTATATACGAGGTGTTCAGAAAATATCGGGAATTTTCGTTTTTTGAAACAAATATTTATTTATTCGTCTACATTAATGTTGTCGCCTTCAAAATAGTCCCCATTGGATATTATGCACATGTGCCAGCTCTTCTTCCAATACTCGAAACACTTCTAAAACTCGATCTTTGGTTAGCCTTTAGTTCTTTCAGCGATGCGCTTTTAATGTCATCTATGCTTGCAAAACGACGGCCCTTTAAGGTTCTCTTTATTTTTGGGAATAGGAAAAAGTCAGACAGAGGCATGTCTGGCGAATATGGAGGCTGGGGCATCATTACAGTATTGTTTTTGGCCAGAATTTTGTTCAAAATTTAACAATTTTAGAACAAATTTTTCTGCCACGCGTTTCATACCCAAAACATTCGAAAAAATTTCATGGGATGAGCCAATCGATATACCAACATCATCAGCGACTTTTCTGATGGTTTATAACCATTTCTTCCACTTTTTCCATGTTTTTATCGGTTGTTAATGTGCTTGTGCGTTCGGGGCGTTCGTCATCTCCAACATCTTCACGGCCATCTTATCTCCAACATCTTCACGGCCATCTTGGAAACTCTTATACCACTTGTAAACTCTTGTTTTACTTATAGCAGACCCACTATAGGCCCTTGTTAACATTTCACAGAATTTATTTCCTTTTTTAAGCAAAATTGGATACAAATTCTTTGATCCATTTCTTTTAACGAACGAAAAATCGCCGAGCTCATAAAACAAGTCTATCCTTAGCGGCTGCCACAGACAAAGTAAACAATGAAAACAGCTAAAGTTTTTATCATACTTCAGGGGCATGTATATGAACATAATAAAGAAAATTTTATGACAACCGGACCCTCCGAACCCGCGAATTTTAACAATTCCCGTTATTTTCTGAACACACCTCGTATACATTAGGGTGTCCCTTATTTTTATTTTTTTTACGCATACCCTCTATTTATATTTATTATGTGTTTATATACTCCTAGTAAAAATTTCAGCTCATTCTATAAACGGGAACCCGTGCCGACTTGCATCTGAACCCTCCGTTAGCCCACGTTAGGCGCGAGGTCTTCGATCGTAAGTCATTTTGTGTTTGTTATTATGTTACCCTTATATTATAAATTATTGACAAATGTTAAAATAAAGTTTTATTTATGTGTATACTTTAATAAAAATGTATATTTTCACAGGGAGTGGCTAGTTACCCGGAAGGGTCTGGTGAATAGGCCGTAAACTTTGAAATTGATAAACTTAATGGGTTTTACTCTAAATAACTAAAAGAGTCTATTGTGAGAGATGAATACCGAAAACTTATTGAACTGTCTGAAATATTTTTGGGAGGACATCAAGAAAAGAAATGCTTATAAAAAGCTGAAATATCATATAACAGTATATTTTAGCAATACTAATTAGTATATTAATATATTTAAGGGATAAAATCAACTAAATTAGTGAAACAAATGATAGAAACAAAAGCAATAATATTAATTAGTAATCATATTTAATAAAATCATTGGAAAAATACAGTCATGAAGTAAGATATACTTCATAAGATATAAAGTGTTTCGTGTTACAAAATACCGCGCGCGCCTAACGTTGGCTAACGGAGGGTTTAGATGCAAGTCGGCACGGGTTCCCGTTTATAGAATGAGCTGAAATTTTTACTGGGAGTATACAAGTAATAAATATAATTAGAGGGTATGCGTAAAAAAAATAAAAATAAGGGACACCCTAGTATACATGTATTATAATGATTATTATAATAAATAAAAATTAACATTAAAAGAACCATTTCTAAATAAATATTAATTTTGTTATATTTTTGGAAAAAGGCAGAGCCCTTAAAAGTACGTTCCTAAACTGTTTTTTGTCAAGTATTTTCAAAATTTTCAAATATTTTCAAAGTGTGCCCCCCCAGCCTCCTGCCTTTAACGAAATTATTAATAATTTTAAATTCATATAATTAATATTTACGTATTGTAAAGGATACTCTCAGCCTGGGGCAAAACAATGTAATCTTGTTCCAATCGCTTTCCGATATCGTATTACTAAAAGTATCCGTTTCCCTAATACTGACATCCAAGTGGGCCAAAGTTCTGTTATCGCTCGTAATAATCGCATCTATAACTCCATGCGCCAAAACGAAGAAATCCAACTTCAAGACAGTTAATCTAGAAAGCTGCTCCAGCAAGCTCAAAAATTCTGTCGAATCGAATGCGGACTGGTAGTAATGATAGTTGTGGATGTCCAAGTATTTGATTGTGTCTTTGGAATTTAAACAGGCCGACAAGATTTTCACACAGTCGCTCTTGTGCAGATTCGCATTGAAAAATACGATTTTCTTTAGGTTAGCTTGGCGTCTAAAAAAATTCACATACCTTTATGTAGAGTTCATAAAATAATAAGTGGGATTGCAAGGATTCGGTTCATTCATTATTATAAAGTTGCTGTATTAAAAAAATCCTTATATTTAGCTTAGGTTGATACATTTTTATTTCAGCTTAAATTGACATTCTTAACAGTTTTATCAGGACCGGATTAAGAAGGGGGAGCTAAGGTGGCTAAAGCCCAGGGCCTTCAAAACTTGTACCCCCAATGACTTAGATGCAGAAAGTTTAGGTTGCGAGGTTGTACATTTTAAAACTTACGTCTCAACCATGTTCAGCAAGTAATTTGTATAAACTTTTATTGGAAAGTAATGCTAGGCAGAACGAAGTTTTTCAAAGCTAGCACTAATAAAAATGATAAATTTTAGTTCCTTAAAATATACTCGATCTTTTTAGTCTTGGGTTAATTTAAGCAAGCTACTTTAAGAAAATAAAGGCCTCCAAATTGCTTAATCCGGCCTGAGTTTTATCTATATCCTAAGCTGACTGTCTTAAGGTTGGGCACTACTGACTTGAATGTACTATTGCGGTCGAAAAAAGATAATTATAATCGGTAATAGTAGATTATTTTTATAAACTTTCGTTACTTATGGCCGAATTTAACAATGTGTAAAAATTGTAAATATTAAACTATAGTTTATAAACACTTTAAAAAAGCTATTTTCTGGTTCTGGTTATGTATACAGAGATAAAAAGCATGATACAACAAAATATCAATTCACGTTCGGTATAGCTCGAGCTTGATCAAACCACAATCCACACAACAAGGTCTGTTATATCTAGTTTCGTGCATACTAAAAATCACGAAGTTAGGCAACCCATTGCACAGACCATGGAGCCTACACAAGGAGTCCGAACTTCATGTAAACAAGAATCTTCCTAAGATAAGAGGGCGCTACCAAAAGAGCAGACGTCAGTACGCATCGACAATCAGCGCCGCTGGTGGTGAAAACAAAATACTTAATTTGTGCAATTTAGAGGGCAGGTTTTGTCAATTTCCCTATTAAGTTCGGGCTCCTTGTGTACTACACAATGTGTAGGCTCCAGGGCACAGACTTTAACGGTGGCCATTTTATGTTGTTTACAATTATTGTGCTTCGGGTTTGTAAAAAATAAACCTTATTTTATTGTCATCAAACTGTCAAATGTCAATTTTAAGGTTAATTTGTGGGTAAGGTATGGTGTATTATCTTTGGGTATGGTCAAAGATATTAGGCCGTGTCCCGTCAAACGGTTCTCTATTGCGCTCCCGTTAACAGAGTGACGTCACACACTGTAAATCGGTATTATATTTCGAGCGATAGAATTTTTACAATAAGCTTGGTAGCTCAGTTGGAAGGGCGCCTGCTTTGCATGCGAGACATACCGGGTTCGATACTTGGCGCCTCTACAACTTTTTTTATTTTTAATCCTTTTTATTTTTATCCTTAAAAAATATTTATTCTTCTCCTATTACGGATTTTGACCGTTCTAATATCACTTTTATCTATGGAATGACATATATTCCGTAAAGTGTTACAGAATGAAATATTCTATCATCGGATGACAGAATGAACACTCGTGGCGACACCTCTGTTTTTAATATCTAACAAATTTAAGACCGATCCAACCTCACTTTCTTCCAATTAAATTATTTTTCTATGGTATTTTTTGGAAACGTAGAAAAAGTATAGTCTAAAACACGTTTGGAATACAGCATATTCTGCTCGAGCGAAGAGTTTGTCACACGAGCCGAAGGCGAGTTTGACGGTTTCACGAGAGCGGAATATGCAATTCCAAACGTGTTTCAGACTATACTTTCACTACGTTTCCAAAAAATACCATAGAAAAATAATTTAATTGGAAGAAATCCCAATAAACACAACTGTCACTTTTTGTAACTTTAACATATAATATGATAATTATAATGTATGAATAAATTGAGGCCTGTCAGAGCAAAGTCAACAATCTCCCATCAGACTAAAACTGAGTAAATTGAGATAATTGATTTTGGTATTTTAAATTCTATATTTGTAATTTTTTTTATGTATATTATATTAAAATATTGTAGTTATTAGTCTAGTAGCAAACTACAAGGTCTCCAGGATGCATAGTATAGGTGAAATCTATAATAATTATAGATTTCACCTATACTATGCATCCTGGAGACCTTGTAGTTTGCTACTAGACTAATAACTACAATATTTTAATATAATATACATAAAAAAAATTACAAATATAGAATTTAAAATACCAAAATCAATTATCTCAATTTACTCAGTTTTAGTCTGATGGGAGATTGTTGACTTTGCTCTGACAGGCCTCAATTTATTCATACATTATAATTATTATAAATTGGAGATTGCTGACTTTGATATGAATTGCTGGAGATTGCTCATTTTGTTGTAAACGTTTAAGGAGATTTTCACATTAGTTACAATCTTGCAAAATTTAGAAAAATAAACAAAAAAATAATTGTATTTTTAATCCTTTAATAGTTATGGTAAAATTTAATTATACAATGAATTTGGGAAAATTCTGAACTGGACCACATAAATCTTGAGTTTCTTTTAACTCTGGGACCAGGTTGCCTCGTGCAAAATTTTGAAGTACAACTCATCATCTTCTTCCACTTTGGCCCGTAATGTTTTACTAGCAACGTTTTGACGTTATCAGCCTTCTCTTGCTTAACCTTTACGTCATATTTTGGTATAATAGCAGGCTGGAAGTTATCAAGGCTCCTGTTTTTCTTGGTTATTGCCTTATATTCAAGGTTGTGTTTGTACACTGGCTCACCTCTTACCAAAATGCTATTAGACCTAGCACTTTCGCGTATAAAAAATCTCTTGCACTCAGAAATTTTAAAGTGCAACAAGTTTGTGGCCTTTATAACGGCTTCAGCAGCTTTTTTGAAATCCGCCACCTCACAATCTGTTCCAAGTGTTTGAATAGTCCCATGCTCAGAGATGATATTTTTATATTCCTCTGGTCTAATAATATTTTCATGGGTCCTGATTTTTTTCTCAACATTACCAAAAAAACGATCTGGTGGTATGTAGGAGTGCCCAGTAACAGGAAACACTATCTCCATCGTTATTATTAGGGGCCTTTTTGCTTAACCAGAATGAACATGCAGAGATCACCGTGATATTCTTGTTCTGGCCGCCACAGCCGTCTGCTATTAAACGGATTACCTTCTTGCTTTGAAAATCGGTGTTAGATAGTCTGTGAAACAGTGCTGATGCAATTTCATTGGACCCTTTTTTGTGTTCATCTTCAGTCCAGGTATAACAGAACACGTTCTGTTTTTCCAGCTTATCTTTGGAGCAACCGATAGTAATGGTAAAGTTATAAAGATACAGCTGGCGGCTGTAATATGTAGCTTGGTCTGGTATTTTGGGAAGTGGTAAATTTTTCTCACAGTCAAAACAAAAAGTGTTGAGATCTTCCCTTTTATCCTTTGCAAGTTCAAAAAATGCCTTAGCTCTGAGCTTATGGACATGTTTTTCAGCCATAAGTTTAGCTTTCTTGGTCACATCTGTTTCACTTTTTATTCTTAAAGTTAATTGAATGCACGTAGAGCAGGCATCAGTGACAGGGTGTCCAAATCCCAAGTTAAATTTACTGCTGAAAATGCTCCAAAAAAAGGAACGTTTTACCATAAGATCGGGAGCTGACTGATCATTATACATTCTAAAAAGTTTGTTTATGTTTAGCTCTGTGCCAAGATACAGAAGAATTTCTGCAATAATGTGAACTTTCACACTTGAGGGTTTTCAACTAATCAATAACTGCAACTTTTTTGTCTTTATATTTACTAGATTTGTGATCTCCGCCTCTATTTTCTGTTGGGTTTGTACCAGTTTTCATAAAGTTCTCTATTACGCGTTGAACCCGGCTTCTACTAATATTCAACGTGCTTAAAAAAGACTGTTGACAAACAGGAATTAATAAACCTTCACAACTGCTGATAAAATATTTAGTTTGGAAAGACTTCATCGAATGAGTGTTATTTTTTGGTCGGCGTCTCTTTACAGGCAAGGCTTGAGTAAACTTCACTATTAAGGCATCCTGTTTTAACTTAAGATGGCTTGAGTAAAATCTATTATGGAAGGTTAATAAATCTCTCATTGTTAGGCTACTGCACTGAAATGCCCTAGATGTATGATTGCATTTGAGATTGTTTGGAAGGTTTTCTGGTTCGTACCTTAAACAAACAAAAATCTACATTATATTTCTTGGTGGGATCAAAATAACATTGCAAAAAAATAGTGTTTAAGGGAAAACAAAATTGAAATAATTTAGTACGTAAAAGTATACTTAAGTATACTAATACTAATTAAGTACAATAGACTTACAATGCTTCTTTGGCCAGCGATCTTTTCCACATCTTTGGGTTTGATCGCCTTTTTCTGGCCTTTCTTGGTGAAACTTCAAGCGCAAATTGTTCCATAACATAAAACTGATTACACAAAATGAACAAGGTAACTTTAAATAATAAAACTAATTAATAATAACAATAAAACGTAGATATACCTATTTTAAATATATTTATCTACGCCAGTGAGATAAGAACTTCTTATCCCACTCATTTTGAGTGAGATAAGAAGTTCATTAACGCACGCGTTTTTCTCTGTTTTTAACCAATCAAATAAAAAAGTCAAAATGTCAAAATAACCTTAAATTAAGTCTTAGACAAAAATAATTACCGTTTATTTTTTCATTTAGAGGCGTAGATAAAAATTTGTACAATATAAGTGTGATAACGCTTTATTAACGTACTTTTGCGATTGCCCAACTCGTGCTACGCACTCGTTGGGCAAATTTCGCATGCGTACGTTAATAAAGCTCTTATCCCACTTATATCGTAAATAACTATTAAGTGCAATTTACTGCAATAGAACTCAACAGTACCAGTAAAAAAACACAAAATTAAAGCTCTAAAATAGGTTATAATGACAAATGTCAGGATATCAGGTGACACAAATTACTAATTTCTAATGGTGGGATTGGAGATTGTATCCTTTGCTGCAAATCTATCAGTGGAGATTGTCGACTTTGCACTAAATGCCATTTTTAAAATAGGATTTTAGGCAGGATTTAGCGTCTTTTGCACCACATAGACTTTATCATCTTATAGAGAATTAGTTGAAGTACAGTCTCGGCCAAATATATGTGTATGCATCCCGACTTAGCGCATGTATATACATTAAAGTCAGTACCCACCTTAAGATTTGCTAAACTGCATTCTATTAAAAACATTGTCATCTATAAAATGTCAACTTATGCCTGCTCGCTACATCACGATCACGGCTTAAATTTTAATAATTTTAATTGCAAATTAACGTGTAATTTCGCGTGATACCTAAAAACCCAATGCTTTAACTGTTTCTCCATAAAAACACCTCTTTTTCGAACAAAAAAAAGCAATGATAAAATATGTAAACATAACTCAAAACAGGGGAGTTTACATTAAGATACAGCTTTCTCAAGTATTTTGTAATGGGTTTTCATTTTTTTGTACATTTAAAAAAAAATTTTCCTTACTATTACAATCTTAACGAAGAAACCGAGAAAAACTTGATAAATAACTGTATTAATTTATGTTCTACAAAAAGAATCTTAGCAATCGTTTCTGCAACTTACTAAATTCTTTTAGTTGGAAAGATAATAAAGGGTGTTTTTATGTGTGATAACTTTACATCACCGATTGTAAATCGTGTAAATTTATTATGAAAATCGTACATCTGAAATATACAGCTCGATTCGACACTCGATCTTAGTTTACACAACTTTAGACAGCTAGGCTAGCTGAGCTAGTGGGTAAATAAAACAAACGAAATTGTTAAATTTTGCTTTCTTAGGTTAATTTTAATAAATTAATATTTTAACTTTATGGTTGACTTATTGTATTTACTTAATTACTATATAATTTGTTACATAAAATAAACCCTTGGATTAAAAAGTTTAAAAAGAAATGGCGAATGCGCCGGGATCAATATCCTTGTAATTAAAACACAAATTATTTTTTTTATTATAACACTCAACAAGTCTATATAGAAAGTCTTCCTGTTAATAATTAATCAAAACACAAATTACACTGAAGCTATATTTTCAACTTTTGAGATATCGCAGCTAAACGCTCGTAAACATAAGTTTTGGTAATAGATTACAAATCCGTGCTCGGTTTAGGTGTATCAGGTTTAAAAAAGTTTTTTTCATTGGCAATCCGATCCGGGGACAAACTGTATACTGTTATATTATAATTTGTAAAATAATATATTTCACCCCTTGTGCCTATGCTTTTTATTTCGTTTTATAAAACGAAATAAAAATTATTTCAATTCTTTCCTCTAAAGTGTATCCCATTTTAATGTCTTAATTTTAAACTTACTAGGAGCAATGTAGAAAATGAATTAATGATAAAAGTGCCAGTTTAAATGTTTTTAAGGACATTTTTATTACCTTTTGTTCATTTTAAAACGAACCACCTTAAATATCTTTTAAATTAAAAGAATTTTAAAAAATCCAAAAAATACGTCGAGTTATATAAGAAGGGGAAACTTCTATCACATTATTTAATTTAATCTAGTGCTCACCCCCTCGCGCCCACCCACCCCCACTTTAAAATTTCAAATGGCAACCCACTACAAGTGACACCTCATTTTGAAGAGCATAAAATTCTCTATCCAATGCATTGCAATGTTGTGAAAAAATAGTAAATCGGATGGCTATTTAAGGATCTGGAAGATAAAATGTGTGCTGATAAGATAAAATAATAAGGTAAAAACAATATTGTTTTTAGATATCTTTTTGTGCAAAAGGTAATAAAAATGTCCTTAAAAACATTTAAACTGGCACTTTTATCATTAATTCATTTTCTACATTGCTCCTAGCAAGTTTAAAATTAAGACATTAAAATGGGATACACTTTAGAGGAAAGAATTAAAATAATTATTCTTTATGGGGCTGAAAATCGCTGTGCGCGTCAAACCACCAGAGTATTTAACGAGAGGCATCCGAATAAAAACGTTGGTCATAAGTATGTGATGGAATTGGTTCGTAAGTTTCAAGATACAGGAATGGTATGTAACTAAAAAAGAACTGGACCAAAAATTCTGGATGAGGGTTGTCAAATTGAAGTGTTGGGTCATTTTGCTGCGAATCCAAATTTATCGATTCCAAAAGTCTCCAGACTGACAAATATTTCTACTTGTTCTGTGCACAAGATTTTGAAGAAGAATAGATTTTTTCCATATAAATTACAAATTCTACAAGAACTTCTACATTGAGCCACTTATTGTACATAGAAGAGGTGCAATGGAATTGCCAGCAAGGTCTCCTGATTTGACTCCCCTAGACTTTTTTCTGTGGGGCCACCTGATACAGGAACTGAAGGACCGGATATCACAAGAGTGTAGAAGTATTTCGTCTCAAACTTTAGCCCGTGTCCGCGAAAAATTTCAAGATCGACTTTACTATTGCCTAGCGAAAAACGGCGAACATTTCGAACAATTTATAAAGTAAAAAATGTATTTAATTTAAAAATAAAAATATACAAACCTTTTTACTTTTTTCGATTTACAGCACACATTTTATCTTCCAGATCCTTAAATAGCCATCCGATTTACTATTTTTTCACACCATTGGATAGAGAATTTTATGCTCTTCAAAATGAGGTGTCACTTGTAGGGGGTGCCATTTGAAATTTTAAAGTGGGGGTGGGTGGGCGCGAGGGGGTGAGCACTAGATTAAATTAAATAATGTAATAGAAGTTCCCCCTTCTTATATAACTCGACGTATTTTTTGGATTTTTTTAAATTCTTTTAATTTAAAAGATATTTAAGGTGGTTCGTTTTAAAATGAAAACCCTATAATATCCTTAATTATACTTAATTAAATAAAAATCAGCAAGAAAACTTGTAATTTTCTAAATTATCTAAAATAAAAAACCCTCAGGGACACGTGTTCCTTTTGATCGAATAACCTACAATTTTTTTTTAAATTTATACATTGTTTCTTAATCCCGTGGGATGCTCCAAAACTTGAAAATTAAATATCTTTGAATTTTGACCTGCTACAACTAAACCAAGCACTGATTTTATAATCTACGATCAAAAATTAAGTTTATCCGAAATCGGCAGTAAAGTAGTCAACAACCGGCAGTAAAGTAAAAGTAATCGGTAGTAAAGTAGAACTTTACTGCCGATTTAATACGAGTATTGTATGCAACCCATTATACATTTTAAGATTTGTCTACTGCTCCTCAGCAGCAACTAAATAATATTAAAAAAAGCACCGTCGCAGAGGTCGATTGGACCCTTTCATAAAATGTTGTTTAATAAAAATAATAAGTTAATTTTATTAATTAGAATAAAAAATCGCCGCGGCGGGCAAATATATAATAACCGTCGCAACAAACAGTATACGTAGAACCGATGTAGGGGGCAGCCCAATTTTTTTTAAATTTATACATTGTTTCTTAATCCCGTGGGATGCTCCAAAACTTGAAAATTAAATATCTTTGAATTTTGACCTGCTACAGCTAAACCAAGCACTGATTTTATAATCTACAATCAAAAATTAAGTTTATCCGAAATCGGCAGTAAAGTAGTCAACAACCGGCAGTAAAGTAAAAGAAATCGGCAGTAAAGTAGAACTTTACTGCCGATTTAATACGAGTATTGTATGCAACCAATATACATTTTAAGATGTGTCTGCTGCTCCTCAGCAGCAACTAAATAATATTAAAAAAAGCACCGTCGCGGAGGTCGATTGGACCCTTTCATAAAATGTTGTTTAATAAAAATAATAAGTTAATTTTATTAATTAGATTAAAAAATCGCGGGCAAATATATAATAACCGTCGCAACAAATAGTATACGTAGACACTTCCTACATTCAAATGACATTTGATTTGATCATCAAATGACAATTGATTTAATCATCAATATTAATTATTAGTATTATTAAATGTAATTTCGGATAAAATTTAATATGCACCTCGACACTAAAATCATTTTTTATCACTTACGTAATTATTTATATAATTTCCACATTCGTGATAAAAAATACGACTTTACTTTCTTGATACATAAATAACTATTACGTGTACGAGCGTTTAGCTTTGATATTTTTACCTTGCTACAGTGTTTTTATTAAACTTCCTACAGAAATAAAGCTAAAATGTCATCATGTCAATTAAAATTAACCTAAAAATGGTGTAACAGGTTCTTTAAGAAATATTAAAATTCAATGGTAAAAAAATAATACATAAAACTCGGCGGCGAAAGCTTAGGTATTAAATGCCTCTCATACAATCCACTGCCTTGGCTGTCGCCTCGGCAGTAAAATGTGTGCTCGGCGATAGAATGCTCTCTCCGCCTGGTCTATAATGTACTATTAAGAAGAAAATTGAACACTATTTTAAATATTCTTAACTTTAAAATTAACTTACTCAATAAAAATACTTACAAGAGGAATCTGGCCAAGTGGTAAATAATTTTTTTGAACCTAAATATATCATACCAATCAAAGATCTTAATAGAACTCAATTGTACCCTGGAATCATTTAAAATATTAAAAAGCCTAACTGCTCTCTTAGTAAGATCTTTATGCTTAAATGGCAACCAGCGACTGGGTCTTTGAGGGAAAGCCCATCCAATCTCCAACGATTTTATATATTTGTTAAAGTATCTACTAAAAATTATAGTACTGGGTTCTGCAATTGTATAAAGTAATTACGGGTGAGTTTGTAATTTAAATATCGTACCCATTAAATCTGTATCAATGTGAACAATCATATTTGACCATAGATCGGAAATGTCCAAGGCATCTTTCCAATGTGTGCAAACCATAGAACATGATAATTTATCTCTTCTGGGAAGGTATTTGTAAATCTCTACCATTATATCCGTTAAAATATTTTGCCAGTTCGCCATTTTAAACGTACTTTGTATATTAACATTCTAGTTACGATTTTATTTTAACTATATTTATTATTAACTTATTCCGCAATTTACCTTAATTTAAAATGACAATGCCAAAAATAAATGACTTTAATATAAAGACGCAGATCAGCTGAGTCAAAGTCAAATAGTCAAATAGTCTTTGCCGTTTTTCGATCAGACGCACCATTAATTAGTTATTAATAAAATAAAGTAGCCAATCACAGGCGCGTTTTAGCATTATGATTAGAGGTGGGAGAACTATAATGTGCAGCTTAATCTTAGAAATTCTAAATATATAAAATAGTAGTATAAAATGACCTTAATTAATGATTCAAAAATATAGAGAAAAAATGCTGGAGACAAAAAAGTATTTTTTCTACTACCTTACTGGAAAACTTAATTTTCCACCCCCGAGCGAGGGAGGAAAATGCCTCTTTTCCTCCCCGGGAGGAAAAAAAATTTCATCCTTTTTTTTTAACAATTTTACATTAGCAAGAGTTTTTGTACCTTGTCTAGCCCTATTTGATTTTGTAGGAAAAAGATTTACTCCGCGCTTGTCCAACCATTCTTTTAACAAACTATATTCATTTTCATATCGCTCTTTCGATTTTTAAGGAAGGAAATTAATTGCAACTACCTATTCTTGCCTCTTTAGCAAGATCTTGCGACAGGTCTTCTTCGCTAGAACTCATTTTCCAAACGTAGGAAGAATTTAAAATTTATTATAAACATTCTGACAGCTTATAAAAACTGTGATGTTTGTATTACCAAAAATACCATAGCAACAAAGCATTGTCAACATAACGTCGGCGACGCAACACCTACTTAATATTTTGTCATGAGGGTTAGTAAAAGGAACCGGAACGCTTAAAATGTCTTAAAACCAATAAAAGGTAATAGAAAAAACTATAGTTTGATGCCCGACGCGAAGCGTCAAGGGAGGAAACGCATTTTCCTCCTGAGGTATGTATATAAAGGGTGATTTTTTTAGAGTGTCCGAACTTTAAATTTAAATTAAATAACAACCAAATTAAATATCTTAAAAATATTTATTTTATATGAAATAACATTCAATGACATTATTGTTTAAAAATAATTTCGGTCAAATGTCCTCCGCGGCTACTTGTAACAAAGCGAATTCTATTAATCCAATTTCCGACCATTTTATCAAGCAATTTAGGTCTTATTTACGCAATTGTCCGAGTTATGAATAGTTGCTGGTTTATTTACATTTACCAAAGATTAAACATTACCACAAAGAAAATAAAGATATTTCCGCAAAATTTCCCACGTAGACCAATAACAAAGCCCAACTTTCTGCGAATGTCGACAAATTGACAAATTTGGGTCTTTCTCATCACTGTCGGCAACAGCGATGATATTTTCTTGGAAACGCACTGTTTTTGTTCTTGTCTTTATTTTAATATCTAACAGCGTAAAATTCTTTCGGAATTTCTTGATGATTCGGCGAATACATCGCTCGATTGGGCGTATGTATACCATAAAATTCACGAAGAGCACGATAAGTTTGGCGCACAAAACAATGGTTTTGATGGTAAATTTCGACAATTTGCAAGCGTTAAACGTTCCATGATGATTTGTCAGACTATACTGAGTAACTTAGTTTCTAGATGCATGACAATTGACAGTTTGTTTGACCGAGACACTTGTCAGAAGTTCGGACATACTTAAAAAATCACCCTTTATATATACATACCTCAGGAGGAAAATGCGTTTCCTCCCTTGACGCTTCGCGTCGGGCATCAAACTATTCGCGGGAGGAATAGCACTATTTTCCTCCCATGGTATGTAAATAGCTATTTAATTGCTTGAACCAAAAATAATATCCTCGAAGTAAAAGTCAAGGGAGTGGAGAGAAAAAAAAGCGGAGATTTTTTATCATAAAAAAGTAGCATTTTTGATTGTAACTTTTTTTTTATTTAAACAAAAAAGTTACAACCAAAAAAGATCCTTTCTTAGCATAGAAATTCCTCGGATTTATGGTTATGGCTTAACTCCCTTGACTTTTACACAAAGTTCTTTGATTAAACTTGTAAAAAATTAGTAGCGTATCTATAGGTATACCAAAATTTTATTTTTAAATACCCAGTTTAATTTCCTTAATTAAATTTAAATACAGTAAATTAAGCACTTTGCCTATTGCTAAAAACCTCAACATTTTTAATAAATTCGGCTCGCCCTCAGTCATCGTGTTCGTTCAGCGGTAGAGGTCAGAGCGCGGTCACAAAAACATTTATAACTTTTGACCTATTACAAAATTACTTTTTTTTACCAAAATTTTCCCAAAGGATTGTGTAATCAAATAAAATGTTAAAAAAATTCCTCGCAGACGGAGAAGTTAAATATATTTTATTTTTTTTTTAAAAGGTTTGCTCCTAACAACAATTTTTTTTATCGTAAAGTTTATTTTTCATCAAAAAATTTGATATAAAAATCTTAAATATTTTTATAGGTTTTTTGTTTATTCAATTTTGGCCACTTTTGGCTATTCTAGTCCACCGAGCTGAATATATTACATATCTCCTAATGTGTTTTTCAATATTTTTATCAACCTAATAGAGCAAATGATAACAATAATTCACCTCTGAACAACGCACAAAATTTTGATTTGCGTGGAATAAGTGAGCTATGTAGATATATTAAGTGCGGTAATAGTTATTTACGATATAAGTGGGATAAGAGCTTTATTAACGTACGCATGCGAAATTTGCCCAACGAGTGCGTAGCACGAGTTGGGCAATCGCAAAAGTACGTTAATAAAGCGTTATCACACGTATATTGTACAAATTTTTATCTACGCCTCTAAATGAAAAAATAAACGGTAATTATTTTTGTCTAAGACTTAATTTAGGGTTATTTTGACTTTTTTATTTGATTGGTTAAAAGCAGAGAAAAACGCGTGCGTTAATGAACTTCTTATCTCACTCAAAATGAGTGGGATAAGAAGTTCTTATCTCACTGACGTAGATAAACAATATATTGTCAAACTTTACCTCAGTACCTAAATGTGTTTCAGCTTTTTTGTTAAGAACTGTATTATATTTTTTATGTTAGATTTTTAATTTTATCCTGGCAAATAACACGTTTCCTGCACAATGGAAAATTTCCAGAGTAAATATCACCGATTTTTAAATCGGGTGACAAATGTTGCATAAGAAATTACCGTCCTATCATATGTAATTTTGCCAAGATATTTAAAAGTATACTGACTAAATACATTAATTTTCAAATTTCTCCCCTAATTTGCTTATCTTAGCATGGTTTTGTTAAGGGTTGCTCCACGGTAACAAACCTATGTAATTTTACACATCATACCTACTCTTAAAATTAAAAATTGCAAGTTGATACAGTACCTATATACCGATTTTATTAAAGCTTTTGATAAAATTCAGCATAATATTTTGTTGCATAAACTATGTAACTTCGGTTTTGGTGAAAACATGAATTTATTTAAATCATATTTCCACCAAAGATTTCAATATGTCGAATACATGAACTGTTAATCGGAGGTATATTGTGGATCATCAAATTTACTATATGCTGATGAGTTTAAAATATTTAGAGCTATTACATCGTATAATGACTGCATATATAAATCTTGTAATAAAAGAAGCTAACAAAATGTTAGGTTTGTACCACAATTATTGTGGTACGTAATAACAAAAAATTTAAAAACCTAGATACTTTGAAAATCCTATATAACCTTTATATTCGTAGTAAATTTGAACATACCTGCGTCATTTGGTCACCATTTTATGACATTCAAATTGATAATATTGAAAAAATTCAAAGAAAGTTTTGTAGAAATCTGTTCTTTGACATGGAAAGTTTGGAGATACGTATATAAAAATAGTCAGTATAATTTTTGACCCCGATATTCTCACCCATAATACAACAAGTGGTATGATTATCATCGATGATATTTTCGAATTGAAACCGAGCTCCAGATTTCACGAGTCCGCAGGACGAGTGAAATGTGATTCTTCGGTTTCATTGAGTAAATATCATCGATAACACTATGTAACAAAATTTGATTTTTGTTTTGTTTATTGGATTTTTTTGTTAAATTATAATTATTAATAATAATAATAATAATAATAATAATTATCAATATTTGTGTGCCAAAAAACTATTTTAACTTAATTTAAAAAATTTAGTAATAAGTTTTTATTTTTTTAAGGGGTATTTATATAATATAATCAAACCCAGTTTTATCAAAAACAAAAAAAAATTGACAAGAAATGGTAAGAAATTATTATTTTAACAAAACATACAATCTGGAAAAATATTTTCTTATATTTTAAATCTTGGCTCAAAAATGAATTTTAATACGACTTTTTCTTTATATAATGCATTTTCTTCCCGAAGTAGATTCCAAACATAGTCACCCATCATTGTCGCATCCCACTTTCCTTGTTATCACTTTTCCATTGCCCGAATATCTTGATGGAATCTTTCTCCATGTTCTTCGCTGATATCTCCCAGATTTTCAGGGAAAAAGTCAAGATGCGAATGCAAATAGTGTAGGTACTTTCAACGACATGCGGCATCCCATTTCTTTAAAACTTCCTAATAAAACTTTGACAAGGTCAGTATAATTTTCTCTTTTGTGGTTACCAAGGAAACCTTTAATTTAAAATCTCACGTTAACTTTTGAGTTTAAAAAATATGTACCTATTATAATCAAAATTTGTAAAAAAAATTATTCATTTTTTTTTTACATGTTGTCCACAAAGAAAGTTTAATGGCCAAAATCTTACTTAAGGGATAGGGGGGTCTACCACATCTCACCAAGGGGGAGGGAGGGGTCTAAATTATCAGAAAAATGCCTCACGTAATAAATGGATGTCCCCTAATGACACTCAAAGCCATCAACACGATCTGACGGCTGTCGTTGAAAATTTGACAGTTTGAAAAAACAAATGTATGTTACGTAATCGGGGGCATGGCCTACTACGATTTGTGTAATAAAATCCAGATAAACAAACCACGAGTTACATTTAGTGAGAAAATATAATGAATTTTAG